AAAACACCAAGCTGACAAACAAAAAACCGAATCCAGACCAAAAATCAAACTTAACCCATGCAACCAATTTTGATTTCCGTCTCTCTTTAGACGTTAAACCAAACCAAATTGGACTGATTTGTTTATAAATACTAGCATTTGCCTACATAGTTTGTGTGTATGAACACATTTTTTTCAGAAAATGAGAAGGAGAGAGAGAGAGAGCGTAGGGGGAATGAGAGATTTTTGTTTTTGGTTTTATTTTATTTTTTAAAATATTAGAGATATTTTAATATTACATATAGGTGAGGTTTCAATAAAAAACAGTAAAATTTGAACCTGTGAAATTACATTACTACCCATCATTTTTTTTGTATGATAGAAGACTAAGTTATCTTTTCACCATTTTTTTATTGGCAAAGAGGATTTCATTAATTAATAGAGATTAATAGAGATATTGTCATGGTGTATTATTGGACCTCACCTGAAGCCCAACTTCAAAACCCAACCCTTTTGTGTAGGCCCAAACCTCAACTCAAGATGTGAGGCTTCGAGGCTTCGAGTTCATGATTCGATGAAAACTCTCCCTCTCTGTGTCCATTACAGTCATCTTTCTGTTTTTGTTGGACATTTTTCATTTTTGGACGAAAATTTGAGGTTGAAAAAAAAAATTAAATGGGAAAAGTTTAAACCAATAACCGGTAGAATTGAACAGGAACCGAGTTGCTCTGATTTATTCTTGTGTTTCTCTATAGGATTTTCAAAATTGAACCGAACCGAGTAAAGCCTTAGGTTTGGATCACATTTTAGAATAAACCAGTCTGAACCGAATCAAGCCCATCCATAAACTTATTGCATGCATTAGATTATTTAACGGTCGAAACTCTATGACTTATTCTAACACATTACACCTGAATAAGATCGCGCTTAGGCCAAGTGGAAGTTCTATTCAAAATTATTGCAGACATTAGTTTAATTGATGCATTAGTAATTGGTATTACATTTCCTAAAGTTTGGTTCAAAGTCATCGGGTTTTCAGCTGCGCATAATTACGATAGTTTCTACTCATATTGGTTTTAGTAATTAATGCATTAGCATTGATACCTTTTCTTCTTCTTCTTCTTCTTCTTTTTATTTTATTTTATTTTTTATAAAGAAGAATGTCTTAGAAATTCATCTTTCTTTTATCCTCTTCAACATTTTGCATCATGAGTTCAAACCATCCTCTTCGTGTACACAAGCAGAGCCAAAGCTCCCTTAGGCTATAGTATAGAGAGAGTTTTGGTTCTTTTAAGCTTAAAAATATTAATCTTTTTTACTATATTATGATTTTTAATTGTAATATTCCACTTAGCAAATGAAAATTTTGAATCTTAAAGCTGCTTTTTCAGGAAAATAAGAGATAATAAATATCAACTAAACTCATCAATTTAACCAATATTATAATTTAATATATAGTAATAAATTAAAACTTTTATACCACAAATGGTTCCTTATTTCATTCACTTGAAAGTTTTGAAGGCTAGAAATGACTAGTAAGTAAGAGGTCTTAGGTTCGATTCTCGTCAAAGACAAATTTGAACCACATTATTGCTAGCCCATTGTGAGGCTTAGCTCACTCTCTCACCCCCCCCTCTTTTATTGTAAATAATATCGATTGTTCAAAAAAATAAAATTACTATTTTCAAGTTTACTATTATATAAATTATGTAGGCAATAAAAGATTAAAATTTGATTTTGTAGTAGTTTTAGCAAAAATAATTACTGACTACGCCATTGTTGGTGTATAATTGTTTTTGCTAAGAGCAAGTCCACCCCTAAAAATGCGCTGGCACCCAGCCCGTTTAATCCACTCAAATGCATAGTGATTGACCCCAATGAACAGTAATTCGTCAAACGCATCTCTACCCCTAAAAAATGCGCTGGCACTTAGTCCATTAAAATATTATTAATTTTTTTTTATAAAATAAAAAAAAGTAGTTTTAATTTCGGATAAGATTTTTAACCAATCTTGTCACATCATGTGTCATTATCCGAAAGTACTATTTTGTGAATAGATTTCCGAAAAGATTTTCAACCAATCCCGACACGCCACGTGTTACTATCTGTTTACAATAATTTAGCCAAGATTTTGATAAGATTCTCAACCAATCTTGTCATGCCATGCGTCATTATCCGAAAGTAATATTTTGTAGATAGATTTCCGATAAGATTTTCAACCAATCACGTAGTGCCAAGTGGCATTATGCAGAACCTCATCCTTTTTTTTTTGTCCATATAAACCCTACATCCATCCTAATTCATACACCAAACTCAATCCTTTAGCTCAGAATCCTTCTTCATCGTTTTTAAATCTTGAGTTCTTACAATGTCTTTCTCAAGGAGATTGTATGAAATCGATGAGCAATATAAAAAATTGTTGGTAGAACAAGAAGAATTGTTCAAACTCGATGAAGGTGGAGATGAGGTTTTCACAATGGAAGAGAATGAGGATGATGAACATAGAAGGCATAAAGCCTCACATCCCCGTCGTGCCATGGAAGCTGTGGGTTAGATATCCAAACTTATACGTGTTGTAAACTTGGATAGAAAGAGGGAAAGATGAGGTAAAGATCTCTTGGAAGATTATTTTATCCCTAACAGTTTATTCCCTGATCATATTTTTAGATGTCATTTTAGAATGCAACAAAATATGTTCAACAAAATCATGATTGCTATTTTCAACCATGATCCATACTTTGTACAAAAAAAGAAAAAAGAAAACAAAGATGCTTTTCATGTTCTACGTCTTCTTCCTGAGCAAAAAATTATTGTTGCCTTGTGGATGCTTGCATATAGAGCATCTGCAGATCAAGTGGATGAGATAGCGATGATAGAAATATCAACTGTTCTGGAGTCCCTGATGAGGTTTTGCTCCTCAATTAAAGCCTTGTACAACAATGAGTACCTCCGAAAACCCACGACAATGGACCTGTGAAAGCTTTTAAAGAAGGGTGAGATGCGAGGCTTTCCTAGCATGATTGGAAGCATTGACTGTATGCACTTGACCTAGAAAAATTGTCCAAGTGCATGGCAAAGAGCTTATGGAGACAAAAAATGAGCCAAATATCATTTTGGAAGCGGTGGCTTCATTTGATACACGGATTTGACATGCTTTTTTTGGTATTCCAGGAGCTCAAAATGACCTTAATGTCCTTGCTTAATCTCCAGTGTTCGACGAGGTGCTGCAAGGAAAAGTACAGAAAGTCATATAGTTAATGACCATAAATATGAAGGAGCATACTACCTAGTAGATGACATTTACCCAAGGTGGACAATATTTGTCAAAACAGTGCCACATCCAAAAAGTGAAAATGATAAACTGACACGCCCCGACCCCGATATTCCCCGAATACCAGGATAGGCACGTGTTGGCCGACACCCGAGGGTGACGAGAGCCATTTATTAAGTGCAAATGCTGAAAATAAATGATAAATAAGGTTTATAAATATAAAAGAATAATGAATATGCAAATAAGGACCGTGTTCAGAGCACACCTCTAATTTAGAACACTAGAGAAAATAATATAAAATTGAATGAAACCAAGGAGTGGGTCCTACACCAAGAGGACTAGAAGATGCCGATGCGGAAATGCCTGGACGTCGGGATTGTATGCCTCGATTCTAAGTCCTGAAGGGTGCGCAAAACAAACATGAGTGGACCAAGTTGATATACATATATATAATAAAACAGTTATCAACATACTAACCCCCAGGTTTTATGAAAACACATATATATGATGATAAACATAGGTTTTCCGAAACCTAGCATGTCGTGCAATATCTCAAATCATAATTCGCATAAATAATAAACACTAGTGAATGTCCGATATAACTCTTCAGGCCCCATGCCGGTTCCCCGTCTCTGAGCACACAGTCAGAGGAAAATACACTTCAAGCCCCGTGTCGGCTCCCCGTCTCTGAGCAGACAGTCAGAGGAAAACACACTCCAGGCCCTATGCCAACACCAAACCATCGCCCAGGACGGACCGGATCTATCCCTACGTCCCGTAGCGGAAAGGACCACTAGGTAAGTACAAAACCAGTGAACATACATATATTGAAAATCAACTTCATAGTATAAAGTCATCCATCATCTATACTATAAAGAGGTGTTCTAAACATGTTCTAAATATCATATCGTCATCCATCAGATATTCTATAAGAACATGGGTTATAGGAAAAATAGTAATAATTCAAACTAGCCTTAGTAAGCATGTTATCTCGTAAAACATTTCATAAAACATAATCATCAAATCATGCTTTTCATGAATGCATTTATACTATCAAAACATGCATTTTTAGAATGGGTCCACTCACCGTACACCGATGGTGCAAGCCGTACCAAGCAGGAGTAACGGAATCTCCGCTAAGAATCGCACCTAAACACACAATTGTTACTTTCAGTCAAACTCTACTCAAACGATTGAATTTGAGAAAACGGACATCGGAAACGGGTTCAGAACGTCGAAATTAGCCTAGGAGGGGTCCCGCACGAAAACCCAAAAAGTCAACCCCGAGGTCAAAGTCAACGGTCAACGGGTCAAGGTCAACGGGTCGTGGGTCAACCCGTCAGAGTCAACCCGGTTTAGGGTTTGGGTATTGGATCCGGGTTTGGGCCCTAGGGTTTTGGGTTTAGGTAATTGGGTTTAGGTTTTTAGGTGAGTTGGGTTGGGCTTGAACCCATACGGCCCAAAGGCCCACAACAGAAAGGGTGATGGGTTTTGGGCTAACAGGCCCTAAGGCCTAAATAAAAAGGGGAAATGGATTTGGGCTGCAACCAAGGCCCTAAGGCCTTTGGGTTTTTAAAAATGAAACAAAATAAAAATAAAAAGGAAAAGGTTTAGGGTTTTGGGCCAGAGACCAAACGGGCCTAAGGCCCGTGGGGGAAGGAAACGGCCTGAAGGCCTGGGTGTTTTCTTGGGCTGGGTTTCACGCCGGAGAAGAAGGCCGGAGTTCGGCCGGAATTTAGACAAACTTTGAATGTCCATAACTTTGTTAATACTCGACGAAATCAAGTGATTCAAAAATGAAAATCGTAGCTCTCGAAGAGACGAAGAGAATGGTACCTCACACGACGTCTAACTCGCCGTGGTTTGGCTGGAAAACACCTCGAAAGTCACTGAGATCGCCGGAAACTGGGTAAGATTCAAATGAGTATAACTTCTTCAATACTCAATGAAATTAGGTGAAATAAAAAGGAAAGTTGTAGTACTCAGCGAGACGAAGAGATTGATACCTCGCACGCCGGCCAACTCGCCGTGGTTTGGCCGGAAATCGCCTCGAAAGGGACGGTGCTCGCCGGAAATTTGGGTGTGCACTCACCCGTGCCAAAAACACTCCAAAACCTTGGAAATCAAGAATCCAAACTCAAAAACCACATCTAGGCAAAGTCTAACATAAGAAAAGAAGAAGAAAAAGGGCTTACCCAACCGGAAAAATCACAAAACTCGCCGGAGGTGTTCGTACCCTCCCGGCGCCGTGAGCAAGGGAGAGAGAGAGATATATATGCAGTTGAATGGCGACGATGGTGATGATTTCCTCGAGTAGGTGTAGCTGTGGGTGTGTGTGTGTCTGTGTGTCTTTCACGGGGAAGAAGAAGAGAGAAATGGGGGAGTTCGAAAGAAAGGAAAAAGGTGCAGACAAACAAAACAAAAGAAGGAAAAGAAGAAAAAAGAAAAAAAAGAAAGGGAAAGGGAAGAACCGGGGAACAAAAACAGGGGGTGGGCCCCTTGGGCTCACCAATTAAGGTTCAAAAACAATTTTTAAAAGAAAGGTATCCCCAAACTTAGTGAAAATACAAAAATACCCATTTTCTTATGAAAATCCCGGGACGGGTTGTTACATAAACAGTTCGTAAAATGTCAAGAGGGGTGTAGGAAGGATGTGGAGCATTGTTTTGGTATCCTGCAAGCTCGTTGGGCGATTTTCAGGGCTGCTGCCAGAATGTTTAATGTCAAGGCTCTTCGATCCATCATGATGACGTGTATCATTCTCCACAACATGATTGTGGAAGATAAGTATGATTATGATTCCATTGATGAATATGAGCCGGATATGATGAACAACTCCAGAACACGTATTTATGTGCTCATGACTACATCAAAGATCCCATGCAACATGAGCCATTGGAAAGAGATAGACGTTACAAGCAATTGATTATTGATCGGTACACTGCAATGCAATGACCATACATGCACTTAAGCCGTCAAAGTGACTTAATTGAGCACCAGTAGGGATTGAAACAACGCGAAGAAACTTAAAAGGAGCTTGTGGGCAAAGAATAAAGTTCTTAGTTTACTTGGTGTGTTTATGTAAGTTTTATTTGGTGAGTTTATGTAATTTTATTTGGTTTGTTTTTATAAAGTTTATTTGGTTTCTTTTAAGTTTGTTTGGTGAGTTTATGTAATTTTATTTGGTTTGTTTTTATAAAGTTTATTTGGTTTCTTTTAAGTTTGTTTGGTGAGTTTATGTAATTTTATTTGCTGTGTTTAAATAAAGTACTAAAAATAAATAATAAATTACATATAGAACTAAAAATAAAAACAAAATTACATAAAGTACTACAAATAAATAAGAAATTACATAAAGTTCTAAAAATAAATATGAAATTACATAAAGTACAAAACTAAATTAGAAATTATATAAAAAGTCTGAGGAGCTAGGATATGTGGTGCTAGGATCTTGGTTGCTAGGATTTGTGTAGCTAGAACCCTCTCCACTTGTTCCCTCGTTTCTTTCACTCCTCATTCGCACCACGTCATCTTTTTCCGATGTCCAAATTTAAAACCCCTCCCCAAAATTATTATCTAATTTTACATTTCCCCTAAAAGTTTATGTAATTTTACATTTCGGACCCATATCCTAATCCAATCTAGACCCTCCATTTAGATTCCCTCCCCTTTCCGTTTGCCATGTGGCGCCACCTTGACTAATCCCTTATCTCTCTCTCCCCCAAGTCAACTCTTACTTCCTCTCTCAACTCTCTATCTCTCTCACCTCTCAACTCTCAACTCTCAACTCTCTCTCCCCAATCTACCTGCACACCCACACAGACCCTTAAAGGCACCTCGACGATAGAGCAGCATCACCATCACCCTCGTTGACTTTCTCTTACTTTCCCTCGTCGATGTGAGGCATGGTGAAGAATAGAGAAACTTCGGTGAACCTCGAGTGAAAACTAGGTCACCTTCGACTGTTTCACGGTTAATCTCAGGTACCAACCTCTCCTTCTTGTCTTTATCTTCGTTTTGCCAGTTAGATTGAAGGTTAAATCGTTCAATCGTCGTCGACCGAAGCTCAGGAGGCTCCGACCTCCTTCCCCGACGATAAACAAAGACCCAGGGCCTTTGGGCCTAAACCCCAAGCCCAAACCCTTATCTTTTAGGCCTTCGAGCCGTGTGTGGAACTTGGGCCTTCGGCTCGTGGAACTCGAGCCCAACCCATTTACCTTTTTATTTATTTATTTATTTTATTTTCTAAAAACCCAAAACCCTCTTATTTGGGCCAGGCCTTCAGCCTAAGACCAAAGGGCTTCGGCCCATGAGTTCTAAACCCAAAACCCTTAGAGGCTTAGGCCTTCGGGCCATGTAAACTTGGGCCTAAGCCCGTAGATCCCAAGCCCAGAAGCCCATTCCCCTAGGCCCAAGCCCAAACCCAAGTTAAACCTTAGCCTAGCTGCGTGTGGGTGACTGTCTGTGTTGGTGCGTGAGGTGAACGCGTAACCGTCTAAGGCGATGCTGATGGTGGCGTCGGCAAAAATTTCAATGACTTTTCCAGCGACCCATAGTGGCTCTTGGCCGCCGGAGCCGCCACCTTACGGCGATGTGTGGCCGTACTTGAGGTCCATTTTTATGTTATTTGACATCCTGAACCCGTTTATGACGTCCGTTTTCTGAAATTCAATCGTTTAAGTATAGTTTTGTTAATTATACCCTTTATGTGCTTAGGTGCGATTATTAGCGGCGTTTCCGTTCCGCCTAGTTCGTACGACTCTACGACGACGGAGCATCTTTGAGTGGACCCCTTCTAAAATGCATGTTTTAATAGTAGAAATGCATACATGAAAATCATGATTTAATGATTACGTTTTATGAAACGTTTATGAGATATTATGCTTACTACGAATATTTTGGAATATCATATTTTATCAAACTAATGTTCTTTGTAGTATATATGATGGATGACTATATGCTATTTAGAACATGCTTTTACACACTTCTTTATAGTATAGATGATGGATGACTTTATACTATGAAAATGTTTTTGAGATATATGTATCTATATTTGGAAAGACTATATTCAATGGTTTTGTGCGTATCTAGTGGTCATGGTTCTGCCTACAGGCGAGGGAGATATATGGCTAGCATGAGGTATATATTGATGGCTTTGGGCCAAAAGCTACTAATGTTGATATCATTAGTTAGTACACTATATACGAGATATGTTTGATAAAAGGTTTTATGGCATGCTAGGGTTTTCGGAAAATGTAGTACATATTATGCTATTAGTTTTCATAAAACTTTGGGGTTTAGTCTGTTGAATAAATGTTTTATTATTATGTACATTAACTTGGTCCACTCATGCTTGTTTTGCGCCTTCTCAAGACATAGGAACGAAGAGTATGACTCAAACTACGAGGCTTTCCCTTACCAGTGATATCGTGCCATATCTTTCGATTTGACATCATTGTGATTTCACCTTCTACGATTTCACCTTCTGCTTGTATTATGAATTAGAAGTATGCTCTGAACATGTCATGCATTATCATTATGTTTTCATTGTTGGCAATTGAATATTAATTTATTATATTACTATTTCAAGCGAAATTTATATGCATGTTTCACATGTTCTCAGCATTTGCATTCATAAATAGCTTGCGTCACCTTTGGGTGTTAGCCAGCACATAACCATCTCGATGTCCCAAAGACATCCGGATTGGGGTGTGTCACAAAAAAATTAGAATTTGGAGACATTCCTGCTAAAGGCTTATTCATAGTGTCACGATTTGCTTGAGCCATAATTTCTTATTTTAGCATCTCCATTTATCAATTAAGTATTTCTCTTTGTCTCTCATTAGCCGAATCACATCTCTCAGTAGCTGCTAAGATTACTTGCATAGTCGTAACTTTTGCCTCATCTCTAGTCGCTTCCATTGCCATGTTCAGTTCACCTTGGCGAGCAAGTTCGACCATATATTTTGTGTAGTCATTCTTGAAAGAACTCCCTTTTTTCTTTGCTGCCTTTTTACCTTGAGGCCTTAAGGACCGATGAGTCGACTCTGACACTTCTTCAGGTGTCTCTTCCTGCTCTTCAAATGTATCGCCTTCCTGTTTGGCCAGGTTTGCTTCTGGCGAACTGTGTAGAGGGATGTCGTGCATGACAACTTCTAGACCGGTTGGCACAAGTTTGTATATGGGATTGACGAGTCTGCTTCGACACTTCTTTAGGAGTCCCTTCCTTCTCTTCAAATATGTCGCCTTCCTGTTTGGCCGAGTCTGCTTCTGGCGAACTGTGTAGAGGGATGTCATGCATGAAAACTTCTGAACTGGTTGGGACAAATTTGTATCTGGAACAATCTTTGACAACATCCCAACATTCCCATCTGGTGAATGATTTGCTGTTGTTGTTTGCATTGTAGACTGCTTGTGCTTGTAGTGTCTATAAAAGGTGGGATAATACAATATTATAAAATGCAGGTGTAATACAAATAAATAAATCAAAATATTGATGCGGGTGGAATATATATAAATAAATAAAAATATTGTCACCTAATCCGCTAAACTTTTCCCAGTACTCAGATTAGTGGAAGCATGAGAGAGAGCGTTTTTCCAACAAGTAAGCAAGTTGTTGAGTTTTTTCCAGTGACTTTGAAGACCTTGATTACTTCTTGTGTCTTTTCCAAGCCTATCTCAAAACGCTATAGTAATTCTACTCCATAGTTCTCACAACTGCATCTTATTACGCGTAATCGGGTCATGAGTAATTTGAACCCAGCATTGACATAACGTAACATCTTCGATAAGCTTCCACGTAGCCATTTTTTTCACAGAAAAGTATATGAAAGCTTTGGTTGAAAGTGTTGAAAATATTGAAATGTGGTGTAAGGTGGAAGATGATGGTTAGGTATTTATAAGAAAAAATAATATTTATTTTTGTATTTTTAAACAATTTTTTGTAATTTTTAATTAATTTTTATTAAGTTAATTAATCTGGACCGTTGGATTTGAAAAAGATTGAAATCCAACAGCCCATATTTGGACACGTGGCCAACGGTCATAATTTTGACTGTTTGCTTTTTTTTTTAATATTTTTTTTGGCCAAAAATCGTGGATCGTTGATCTAGGAATCCGACGGCCCAGAACGCGCCACATCACTAGCCGCTGGGTTTGAATTTCAAATTTTTTTTACCGTTGGAAATCCAACGGTCCAGAAAACTAGCCGTTAGAAATCCAACGACCAAAGAGGAGCCACATATCATCTCCCCACTCCACTTTATTGTGCTGAAACGACGGGCCCTACAGTCTTTTTTCCAGTTGGGAACGCGCGCTTGACGCAAAAAAAAATCAATGGGTCTATCCGATATCATGCTGACGCCAACATGATGTCAAGTAGCCCAGGACATTGCTCATCATGT